TGTGTGTGTACCCAGGAATGTAGCTGGGGTGCCCAGCAGGCCTCAGGGGCACCTGTGGCTGGTCTGCTGCAGTACCATCAGCCAACATAGGGGAGGAGTGCAGGAAGGTCGGCAAAGATGACAGACTAGAGCTGCCTGGTTGGCAAGTCATCCAGCTCCCCACATGGTGGAACACACAACTTCCACCCTGTACAGCTGGGGCCTCTGAAAGAACGAATCTTGATGGTAACATGGAGGAGGAAAATACTTTAGCATTAAGGCCTGGCTTCTGCAGAGGTGAAGAGCTCACAGTAAGAGTCAGAGGCCATTTATGGGCCTGGGCTTTTGAGACCAGAGGACCGGGTCCAGTCTCCAATTTCTGGTTGCATGACCTGAGGCATGTCACTTCTCTGTGGAATTGGAGCCACAGACACTGATATACAGCTGTACAAACAGGCCCGTTGCCAGGCAGAGGAGGGAAGATCCATGGAGCTCGGGTAGCTGCCATCAGTCCCTGGGACCTCAGAGTCACCACCTGGGGAGAGTCCTTACATTCAAGAAAGAAGTTCAGATCCAGCTGGGCACAAGCTGACTGGGCACGGGCCTTCTCAGAAAGGCCCATCTAAACCCACTCCCCTCAGCGCCCTGTGGTTGGACCCTGCCATCCCACACCCTCGGCTTACAGCCTCATCCTCTCCCTGGCTGGGGGGGGGGCTGTGAGCAGGAATGGCTCAATCAGGATATAATCGTTTTTAATTAACGTGCGGATCATTTCACAGGCTGATCTCCTTGGAGACCACAGGGAAGATGGTCTTTTAAGATTTTTGTTCCCTCCCCCTGCACCCCCACCACACACACACACACACACACACACACGCACACACACAGAGTCAAAGACCATCTTTCGGTTTTACCCACCCAGCTGCAACCTTGGAAGTAACACAAAAACCTGATGCCTGGATCCCCTTGGGGCCATTAGGATGGAAGAGTGTGCCGACACCAAAGCATATGCATGCGTGCATGCGTGCACACACATACATATACACACATGATAATCTCTGAGATGCACACCTGGGATCAGAAATTCACAGACATGTGCCCATACCCACTAGCAGAGCACACACAGGGACCCAGACAGATATAAGAGCCACTGGGAGACACACCCACTGGACCTGTATGGTTGACAGGCTGCCAAAGAAAACACAGGAAGGCCCAGCCCTCATAAAGAGAATCAGAGACACAACTTCCTTATCCTCCATAAGCACCCTAAGTGTATGAACCAGGGTGCCCTGCCACTTTCCCCACAAGGGGATCCAGTGGTCAGAGAGGTCACCAAACAAGGTATGTCTGTTACCTACTTGGTCTGGGATCTTTTCTGATCCAGACAGCTGTAGCACCCAGCCCTGCACAATCACTCCAGGTTGTCGAACACTGGTCACCCTGACACCCCCTCCCCCCCACAGAGTTACATCCCCCCCCACCCCAGTCTTTGGACTGAACCTTCACTGGTCAGATCTGCAGGGGGTGAGGAGGGATTCTCAGCCTTCCTTCTGGAAAGTGGGATGGCAAAAAAGGAAAGGAACTTGGCAGGAAGATAGAGGCAGGAAGATAGCTGGCTAAGCTCAGGAATGTGACTTGAACGATCCTGGATCTAGGAGCCCAGCAGTATGTGTGCCACAGAAGGGCTCAGGGCCTGTCTGTGGCTCCAGCTGGTTGATACAAGGCAAACTGCTGCTTTTCTCCTTGCCTGGAGTCTCAGTTCTCCCATCTGTGAAATGTGCAAGGTCAGCCTAGGCTACCTCCAAGAATCTTTTCCAGATGCAAAAACCCGAATGGCAAGATGGGGAGCCAGGTCTTGGCTGCTGCACAGCCCAGATTGCTGTGTGACCTTGGGACTTGCTTCCCCTCTCTGGGCTCTGGTTTCCTTCTCTGTCAAAGGAGGGAGATCAGACCCGTGATTCACTGCCGAGGCTCCTTTCAGCTCTGGTAGAAGTTTCTAGACTGTGGGGAAGAAAGGAGAACAGTGTCCCACTTTTAAAGCTAGACGAGCTTATTTCTTCACTGCAGGCATGCTGGAGCCTTTGGCGGCTGCAGCAGCAACAGCAGCATCAACAACAGCAGTGGCACAGCGTCATTTTGAGGAAATCATCTTAAACATCAGAAAAAGCTCTCTACACAAAATATACCCTCTACATCAGTCATCAGGAACATCCAGAATGCTGAACAAAAGGGGAATATTAAGTAAATTACAGTACATCCACTTGACTGGAAAAGCCTGAAGACATTAACCATGGTGTTTATGAAGTGCCGGTTACAAAACAGGAAAAGGCTGGCATTATCGCCAGCAAAAAAAAAAGAAGGAAAGAAAAGAAAAGAAAGAAAGAAAAGCAAGCAGGATATACATCTGAATATATGCAATGACGACAATACCATTTTTAAAAATAAAACATCCACCACCAACTAACAAGTCTATTAGACCTGGGAAGAACTACCTCAAAATATGAACATTGCTGGAACCCCTAAGACATTCAATAACCTTTTTCGTTTTGTTTGTTTGTTTTTCTTGATCTTCCAGATTTTCTGTGAACCGGGTTTAAAAAAAAAAAAGAAAAAGGCTTTCATATAAACCCCAAAACAATGACGAGATGCCTCCAGTTGAGAAACCTTCCCTTTCATTCAGTGATTCATTCATTAGGGATCCATTCACTCCTGTTTGTCCAGCCAAACACAGAACTCGGTGAGTGTCTGAACTGTGCCTGGCCCTGGGGGATCTAAGGGAAGTTTCTGCCTACAGGAAATGGAAGTCACAGCCCAGGGTACCAAGAGCCAGAAGGCAGCCCCACAAACAACTCTCCTCTGAGGCACTTGGGCCATAGTGGTGAGGAGGGAGACATAGTAAAGCTGTCACATGCAATCCTGCCTCCCAGGGGACCTCAGCCAGGCTGCCCTCAGCTGCCAGGACTTCATAGTCCAACCTGGGGGGGGGGGCGGGTGTCAGAAAGTCACCCAGAGCTCTAGCCTTCAGTTGTGGGTGGTGAGGGTGCAGGTGAGAAGAGCGGGGCAAAGGTTTGAGCAGGAGCCAGCCAGTCCAGCCTGGGCAAAGGGTAGAAGAATAAAAGGGCCTCCCTCCTTCACCTCAGTTCCCACAGTGATACCCCTGCCAGCTCTCTGTGGCACTGGCTTGGAACTCGTTTTTCTTCAGAGTCACTGGACCCTTTCCATCTTCCCAAAGGTCCCTGAACAGGGACCCACCCAGCTAGGACCTGTGCAGAGCTTCAGCTGCTGTCTTGGAGGAAGGGGGAGTACAGGGTCTGGAATCGGCTGCCCCTGTCAGCAGTGTCATGCTGTTAGCATGTCAGAGGGTCCAACAATGTGTCCCTGCTGTGTAGGGGCTGACAGATTTCTAGGGGAGGGTTAACTCTTTCTATTCCTGAACCTAGCCACAGAGCAGGTCTGCAAACAGTCCAGTCCTCTGGCCCTAAAGGTACCACTTGTCTTCCAGAAAGCCCCTCTTTAGATAGGAAGAGGAATTAGCCCCCTGGGGCTGCCTGAGAATCAAATTCAGGGTAATTTTCATGAACTCTCCCATCCCAAACACCACAAACAGCTAGCCCTTCACCTCATCCACATACTCCCTCCATACCCCTAAGAGGCAAAAGGATCTGGGCGCTTTGAGTGGCTGGAAGGCTCTGACTCAAGAGCCCTCCTCTTAAGGCTGTGCTCCCCTCCGCTTCCCCCCCCCCTTCAGGACTGCGGTCCCCTGAAATTCTCTGGGCTAGCTCTCCCTTCCCATGGCCCCAGTGGGAAAAGACATTCCTACCACTCCCCTCTCCCCCTTCTGCTGCCCCTTGCCCACCCCCACCCTGAGGGAGGGGCCCTGTCATTGATCCTCTGGGTTACCAGAGCTGTAGTGTCTGCCGTGGATCATGGGAGACAAACACTTCGTCACACAAACACATCACCCCCGGGATCACCTCTCAGCCCGCATTGTACAGGAGGGGAGGAGGCAGAGGTTAGTGGCCCTCGACGTGCTTGAAGGCACCAGCCAATCGCCATGCCCTCCACGACCCCCAGCTGCACACCCCAAGCCCTCACTCTGATGCACGCCCCCACCCACCCTCTGCCTGCCTGGCGCCATCCCACACCAATTTCTCTAACCCAAACAAGTCCCTCCCCCTGCCTTGGGCCCAGGGTCAGCAGCCCCAGGAGAGATGAAGCCCCCGACTCCTGCACACCTACACAGAAGAGCAAGATTTCATTGTCAGCTTCGGTTACTTGGCCATGCGTGAGACCTGGCAGGCGCAAGGCAGGGGGGCTCCGGGGCAGGCTCTGTGGGGAATGGGGAAGGGTCTCCAGGGGAAGTATTTGAAGCAGCTCCGTCCAGATCCGGAAGCCGCCAAAGAAGAGGAAGGGGGGGGTAGCTCGACCTTAAGCACTGGAGGCCAGCGAGGAGGGGGCTCAAGGGGCTGGAGGAAACACAGGGAGGTGTGGGGCAACCGATTCCCCACCCCCTCCTAGAGGCCACGCTCCCGGGAAGTTTCCCACTGGTTGCCCAGACCAGGACCGGCCGACCAGCTCCTGGGCGCTGATTGAGAACTTAAGCAGAACTCCTTCCCTCTCCTGCATCCCCTCACCTCCGGGTTGGCGGCTACCAGCCCCGCCATCTCAGCCCAGTGCCACCGTCGCCAAGACCGCTCGCTCTCCCATGCATTGTGGAAGAAAGGGGAGGGGGAAATCCCCATCACAACCAAACTGCCACCAAAAAATTACAAATACAAAATAGGAAGAAAATTCCTTCTCTTGAGACTGATCCCCTCCACCCGCGTGGAAAATCTCGCAAACAGGGAAATCCGCAACTCCAGCCAAGATTGCGGCGGCGGGAGGGGTGACCAAGGCAGGCGGGCGGGTGGCGACCCCCGCCGGCAGCCCCTGTTCGGGGCAGATCTGAGCGCGGCGGCTGGCCGGGATTCTGGGAGCCCTCGCGCCCCGCCGAGGACACAAAGCTCCGCCGCCAACAATACCTGCGGGCTCCTCCGGGGTCTCGGAGCGCCGGCTGCGCGTCTCGCCGTCTCCCTTTCCCCCGCCGTGTCTCTCTCCTCCGCCTCTCACGCGCACTCTCCCCCTCGCCTCTCCCAGAACGCGGCGGCCAGATGAGATCCTTGGGAGAAAAAAAAATGTGAGCGCACGCACGGATCCTTTCTCTCCGCCTGCCGCCGCTCGCGGCAGCCCCGGGCTCGCTCCTCTCCCTCGCGCTCCCGCGCGCGCAGGGCCGCGCCGCGCCTCTGCTAGGCTCTCCTCTCGCGCCCCGCGTTTCCTCCTCAACAGCCCCTGCGAGCGCCCTCAGTAGCCATTATTCACCCGGCCGCCGGGGGACAGGAGGTAATTAGAGACGGCCCCGTGGCCACATCCACTCGGCTTAGCGCGATGCGGGCGCGGGGCGCGCGCGGGGAGGGGCACGCGATGAGGGGGCTTGGCTGAGCACAGCCCGCGCCCCAGACGCAGGGGGGGTGCAAAGGGGGAGGGAGGAGGGGGCAGAGAGGGAAGAGGCGGGAGGAGTGCTGGTGAGCCGGGAAGAGAGGGAGGAGGGGGTGCCGGGGAGACGCTCCTGCGGCTCTCACCGCTGGGGCTCGGGGTCACCGGCTGCGAGGCTCCGAGGCGCTTAGGGACTGGTGTGTGTGTGTGTGGTGTGTGTGTGCGCGCGCGCGCGTGTGTATGTGTGTGTGTGTGCGCGCGCGCACGCGCATCCGGGCGCGCGCGGGCGCTCATCAAAGACAGAAGGGGAGGGAGGGAACGCTTCAATATTATTCCGGTGACTTACGAGTCCGCGGGTGAGCCCCTGGCTGTGCGCGCTCGGTTCGGTGTGTGTTCCGATGTGGCTGTATATTTCTGCTCTGCCCTACGTGTGTGGATGTCACGGGGCTTGGCAGAGAGGAGGGTGATTGGCGGGGAAGGGGGAGAAGATCTGGATGCTAGCTTGTGAATGTGTTTGTGGGTCTCGGCGGGACTGGTGATGCGAGGCCTGCGTGGGGTGGTGTTTGTGCGCGATTGTTTATAGGGGGCAGTGTGACTGCCTGCGCCTGTGTGTACGGAGGGTGTTGTGTGTCCGTGTGGGCTTGTTTGCGAGTGGGATGGTGGTAGCGCGGGGCAGGGCGCCTGTGCGAGGCGGTGGGCTGGCCCGAGGTGGTGGCCTGTGACTGTTAGTCTGGATGGGCTGTGTTTTGCGTGCAGATCTGAGGCCTGGCGGGCAGGGATAGCCCTGGTGGCGTCTGGGATGGCACCGCGGCAGAAGAGCTACTTAAGGCGCCAAGAGGCAGCACTGGAGTCGGGGCGCAGAGCGACGTGTACCGGGGGAGGGGGGACTCAAGAAGAGGCGGCGGGGTGGGCTTCATTCTGCACCTCCCCTCGCTGCACCAGAGACGCAGCTTGGAGATCCTGCCACTCGCCGGCTCCGCGGTCCTAGAGGCACAGGATTTGGGGGTCCTTTGCCTGGCTGAGGGAAGCACCTACAGACCAGCGGGGACAGATATTTTGGCGATCCCAGGGCAGGCCAGAGACGCAAGGGCTATCTGGAGAGTGGGGTTGCGCCCTGAAGACTGGGAATCCGTCTGAAACAAAGACGGGAACCTGGGGCCCTAGGACCAGACGTGGCCTGCCTGCGCGTTAAAGGCAAGCGCATGGATCCCAACGACAGCGGCGCGACCCCTCTTAGTCCAGGTCCTGGGAGTAGCTCCAGAGCCCACTGGGCACGCAATTATGCGTCCCGGGTGGGGCCCCCCCGGAGAGTCAAGCTCTCAAAGCAGCTGGCGGGCGCCAGTCAGGAGCTGTGATTGAACGTTCAGCCGGCCCGCCCCTTTCCAGCCGCTCACCGCCCACGCAGCCAGCCATTCATTCATCCATCCGTCTCTCCATCCACCCATCTTCTGTCTATCCATCTACCCGCTTACCCGCGCCAGGATCATGCAGATGTACCAGTCCCTGCTCCCTGATTGTTACTGTGGGCAGTCTGTCTCACTCTCCTGAGCCCCACCTCCACCCCCTTCTCAGGCTCCTCTGCTCTGGCAGCAAAGGAGGTCACCCCTTTATCACATTTGGGGTTTGCTGCTCAGTGACCATGCCCCAAAACACTCCCCACACCCTGCCTCTACAACTTGCTCCCTCCACTCCCACACTGAGTGATAGACAGGTGGGTATGAGGTACCTTGGCCCTCCTAGCAAGCAGCCTGGCAAGGGGAGGGGGGGTGCTGTAGGTGGCTTTTTCTCCCACTGCCAAAGTGTACATCAGCTAAGCCCCCCTAGGGGTGGGAAGGAGTGCATGACACATTGTTGATCCTCCTCCCAGGCCTTAGTAGGGCTGTGAAGGGCCTGGTTGCACAGAGATCCCAAGAACTGATGTCCTGAAAGCCACTCCTAAACTTGGATTAGCAAGGTGCCAGCTGGAAGCTAAATAGATTTCTGGGCTCTAGGTCAGACTCAATCAATTGAATTCTACAGGCTGTTCTTTTGGCCTGGGAATCAGCATTTTACAACCAGGCTGGAGGCACAACACTTAAGTATCTCTAGGCCCCTTTGCACTGTGTCCCAGGGCCAATGCCTTCCACAGCCTTCTAGAGAGATTTTTTAGCATCTGTCTTCAATTATCTAGCCCAGGAACGGGGGTCACTCAGGCCTGTGAACCAAGGAAAGACCAGCTGTAGACTTCAGCTGGGGGGCACCTTAAAATAAGCTTGGTGACAAAGATGCCCAAACTCTGGGGACTGACTACCAACCCAACCAGAGTGACCTCAACCCCCTCCCCCATTTCTTGACTTAACCATCTCCTCTATGCATTCCACCACAAACCAAGGCTGCAGGGGAAAGCGTGAAGATGACAGTGAATGTCCCTTCTCCTGGGGGCGCATTCTTCCCTCTTGTCACAGAGCAGTCAGAGTCCTCATCCTAGTATCTGACCAAGATCCTTACATAATCAGGCCCTCAGGCCCAGGGCTCACCTTCTTGTTCGCCACGCTGTTCATGGATTTCATTAGACATACTCTCACCTCAGGGCCTTTGTATATTCTGGTCCCTGGAATGTTCTCTCTCGCCTTCTAAGATACCCCATAATTCACCTAAGTATGTATTTTTTTTTCTGTTTGCTCCTTGGTGTATCTTCCAAGTTGGAAAGGTGCCTTGTACACATTCCATAAGTATTTGTTGAATGAGTGAATGAATGATGAAAGAAAGAGGTTAAACCAAGCCTCCACCTGAGAGCCTGACCCTGACCAGAGTTTCTCTTTGAACTGACAGCCCCCTTGGAGAAAAACGGGCTGGGGTGAGGTGGGAGAACCTCAGGGTCAGGACAGGTCACATGACTCACTTTATCACTCAGTGAGTACCTGGCACAGACTCTGGGAATGTGTCCTAGTGACTGAAGGTTTGAGATGGTTGTGGGGGGTGGCTTGCCCTTCATCTGTTCTAGGGCTTCTCTTTGGATCCTTGGGACCCCTAGCCAGAAGGTTCAGGACAAGGATGTGCTCACCTCTTATCTGCATGACTGGTACACTGCAGTCACAGATCAGTACATATTTATAGACTGAATGGAGTGGTAGATTTGCACTTAAGTCTACATGCCCCTCTGAGCCCTCACTGCTCATCAGCTCCACCTGGCAGGACACTGTGGGGTCATGGTGGCACCAGGCCCACAGCACTGAGGGTTAACTACAGAGAAGGCTGCGCTCAGTAAGTATTGGGGAATGACTCCCCTGGAACTGACGCCATCTTCTGCCACATGAGTCCTCTAAGGACAGGGACATCCCCCTCACCCAGCGAGGAAAGTTCTGTGGGTATTTGGGCTGCTCGCAGGCTTAAGGGTGGGTCTTCCCATGGGAAAGACTTGGCAGGTCTACCTCTCCATTTGCTTGGAGCTGTCATAATAGTTGCTTTCATACAAAATGTGTGTTCAGTGAGAAGAATGGGAGAGGCTGGAGCTGTAGGCAGGGGGACTGGGAAATGCAGGCAAAGAGGACAGCTAAGGACAAGGCTCTGCTAGGGTCAGGACTGGCCAGGGGTCACTCAGATGAGGAGGAGGGTATGGAGACACACACACCCCAACCAGGCCAGGAAGATGTCACTTGAGATCAATTTTAAACTTAGCCCCAGCCTAAGGCTACAGCTCTACAGGCCTAGAACCAGAGGGATGGGGGTGGGTGGGAGGTTTTGCCATGTATTCTACACATTTAGTGAGCAGAAGAGCGGCCTTTAAAATCTCCACGTCTTCCTCCTCCTACCAGTCATTAAATCACTTCAGATTCAGACACTGAGACGCAGATGATGGATTTGCCCAAGATCACATAATTTCAGTGTGGCAGAGGTATCTATCCTTTGGTTTGGCAAATATTCACTGAGTTGGGCACTGTTTTCTCTGTTCAGAATTCAGAGCAAGGAACAAGACGGTGATACTTTTGAGACAGACAAGAAACTAGTGATATAGAATTGATGTGGTTGTTCTGAGAAGAAAAAAAAAAGGTTTTGTTGTGTGACAGAGTGTCCTTACACAAATTAAGAGACAGCTACTAACACTAGGAGGTACAATCTTATGAAATAGTCACACTGCAGTCCATCATTGAACAAAACATTTCTTGTTGCATGACTATAATGTTAAATTTAAGAAAGGTGTGCTATGAAGAAATAAAGCCAGAAAGAGGGCTGGGAGCATGGAGGTGGGGGGGGGGGAGTGTGTTTTAATGTTAGGTCTTGGGGAATTCATACCTGAGAACAGACTTGGAAGACTTGCATAGTGAGGTATGCAAATTTCTAAAGGGAAAGCTGTACAGGTGGAAGGAATAGCAAAGTGCAAAGGCCCTGAGGCAGAAACTAGTCTTACGGTATCTGCAGCAGAATTGAGCAATGTGTGGAGTTGGAAGAGATACAGGCAGCAAGTAAACAAGAGATCACATGTACAGGGCCTTAGACACTATTGTAAGGGCTTTATCTTTTACACTGAGAGAGAAGAGGGGCCTTTGCAGTGTTTCAAGCACAGGAAGGGTGTTATCATACCCCTGGCTGTCATAAGGAGAAAGGCTAGGAGGGAGGCCAAGGCAGAAGCAAGGAGGCCAGCAAGATATGTAATATGGGTAATGACGGGGCCTTGCCAGAGTGGGGCAAGTGGGAAAAGGTCAGATTCCGGATGTATATGAAAGGCAGGGCAACAGGATTGGTTGGTCCATTTGGACAGATGGAGGCACTGGAGTCTGCTATTCGTGCCAGTGGGTCTGGGGTGGTCCCCCATATACTCTGACAGGTGAAAGAGCAATGCCACAGGAAGGAGTGGCCCTGTCCCTTCTCAACCTCCATGTCACTCTTCCAGCTTGTTAATGACCTTCATGCCAATCTTGGAGCTTCAAATTGCCAAAGAGACCTCATTTTCAGTGAACCTACCTGGAACCATGTCCCCTGCTTGGGTTCATCATGGGTGACCTGCCCTAGTCACCTTCCTCAGTAACCCCTTTTTAGGAGCATGTTGATCCAGGACAGCAGCTGCCAGCCCTCCTTCCCTCATGGACCAAGTTTTATCTCCTAGGCCAATGAAGCTCATCTGCCACACAGAGCTGTCTTGTAGCAGTCGTGAAAGGAGCACCCAGTCTGTCAGGTATTGATCAGGGCACTGGGGAATCAGCAGGGAACAGACAGATGACAGACAGACAG